ATACTTTTCTGCATAGTGCCAGAATTTATTATTATTTATTTGTATTGTGGTAGCACCTAGGAGCCTCAGACTTGGACCAGGACCCCACTGTAATAGGTACGGTACAGAAACAGAACAAAAAAGACGATCCCTGCCTCAAAGACCTTCTAGTCTAAGTAATGAGCTGAGAAGACATCTAAGGAAATTCGTAAAACAGTTGTGCAGTCAGGGAGAATTTAGCTAATACATGCTACCATCACTCCTTGAACTCTACTCCAGACAAAGCCTTTAACAGAACAGTAAGACCTATCCTCACATCTCTGTATGCTAACTATCATGCACAAAATAAAGGGCCAGTTTATCAGCTGGTGCAAATCAGCAAAGCTCCATGGAGTTGCACCAGTTTATGTCATCTGGAGTTCTCCCCACCCTTTGCAGTTTTCTGTACCTGTATATATGTATCTTGTCTGTACTTGTTAGTGTGTTGTCTTTTATATGTTTCACTGTTTACTGTGGGAGTGAATATGAGTTATCCCTGCTTGTCTGGTATCTCACATTATAGGATGCTTTCACTGCAGCATGTTACAATACACATTTTTCAAGGGAGGATGTAACCATCAGACGTGCATATTTATATATTATCTCAACTGGGAAGCAGAATGCATTCCTCTTGCCAAAAAACAGATGCATGTATATGTCTTATGTACACATGCTGTTTTGACTAAAAACAAAGCTTCTTCCCTTCCTGTCTTAAATGTCGGGGTATTTTTTAGAATACTATGTACTATAGTTTCAGGCATTCACTTTTATAGCATATTCTGCCACATGAACATGAGGTTAAGAGGAGTGTTGGCTAGGACAGACACACTGCACCTCAGCCACACAGCTGTAGGCAAGATAACGGAATGTCTTCCTTTTTCTATGTTCATGTAATATGGATGCTATCCTGCTTCCACTGAGCAGAGTTTTATCACTTATTTCAGCAGGAACAAGATTGCAACCTTTTTCTTCATTTGGGGAGTTAGGTAGGGAAAATACATTTCTCTTCAATCTTCCTCTGGTAAGTTTTCTGTATGAACTGGTGGATTTAGCCAATGTGAGGTCAATGCAGTGATCTGTGATTCAGACTGCAGAGCTCTCGAGTCATTGATCACACCAAATTGCTCACAGCTATTCTGTACCTTTAGTATTGTATTGTGTCACATTTCACCACTCTTCACCAGGATTGGAATTTGGAATGCCTCTTCTCCCCACCCACCCCGGCGGAAGCTCATTCAATGTCTCTCTGTGGGGGTGGCACTCATCCCAGGTTACATTTACTTACCTTGTGGAGGTTATACATATTCTACTCTAAAAGGCTGCTATTTTGCTGCACTCCTCCTAAGGCAGAATGAAAGTCGCAATACAAAAGAAATGTGTTGAGCAGCACTGGTTCAGATGCTCTCCACTGCATTGCTCAGTTGCTCCTGCCAACCTCTCTAAACATAATAACTCACCTGTGTAAGTGTAATGTTGTCATTATAAATGAAAATATAAAAACCAGCTCAAGGGGGAAGGAGAAAAGTTAAGAAGTATCATGTTACAGAACATGTAAACACTGAGTGACTTCCTACTTTTCAGTTCAGTGTGTCAGCCCTGCTTCAAAGCTAGAAATGAGAGGAGTAGAGTTATTTAAAAATAACTGCAGTGGTATCATCTTATAACTAAGTTGCTTTTCCTGTCACAGAACAACCTCAGCATAAGCACAGGTTCACTATTACTGGATTTGCACTTTGTGCCTTGCAAAGCACTGAAAAATTCAAGCCTTTCACTTTAATTGATTATAAATGGAATTTCACTGTATGCAGGCTCCAAAGTACTATTAGGAGGCCAGTTCATTGAACCCCCAAACCCAAGCCCAGGACCCAGCCTGAGTAGTGATGCTGGGCACTGGGTAGATGAATTGAGGGTGGGAGGGAAGGAATCCTTCTAGGCCTTGGAGCAACTGTGGAGGCTACTCCATAGAGGCTTCCACAGGACTTTATATGCCTCATCCCTTACTCTACATAGGGACAGTTCAAATAGTAGTAGTTTCTCTGGCTCTGCCTTCTAGTTGTCTACCCATTTCCACCCAGGACTCTGTGCTGCAAAGAGGGTGTGCAACACATACAACCAGCACTACTTCTGCTGCCAGGGGTCCCTTTGTAGCAGTAGGGGAGGTGCAGGATTTGTCCCTCTAAGCATAATGCTGTGTATTAAAATGAAAGAATATTGAAATTAGAGCTCAGGATACACTGACAGCTTTCACTTACACATCATATTTTAACCTTATTTAAAAAAAAATAATGTCTTGATGTTTTAATTGTTTAGCTGGGAGCATCATTTTTTGTTGACATTCTCTTTTTGCTTTAGAGCCATAGGAAGTTTGTCAGTTGTGTATAAAACTAAAATAGGTAAATAGACTTATTTTAAGTACATTCTGCATTTTGTGTTTCTTGTTTTGAAAACCTTTATAACTGGCACAAACCTTTTCCTCCTACCCCCCTTTTAAGACAACTGAGTTGTTTTCTGGACCATAGTATATCATCAGTTTGGAATATATTAGGAGCTTTTAACATTCCTGCTAAATAATATGCCCATATTTTCCAAAACAGAAAATATCTCATCTCCAATGTAATAAAGTCAGGCAACTGGTCAGCTTACATGGTCACAAAGTGAAGAAATGAATATAGCAACCATGTCAGAACAGTGGAAATAGCCTGTGACTTCTGTCAATGTAATGAGAATAGTGATCTTTACTGGACTTACTTATCCTTAACTTTCCATATAGTGCATACTTGTGTTTGAGAGTATTCTTAAATTATCTGAAAAAAGTCATGGTAGAGAAAAATGGCAGATTATCAAAAACACATATCTGTGTTTGGCATCCATTTAAAATTCTTTAAAGTCCAATGGAGTGACAAAATGCAGTGAGTAGAAGTGGCTCTCTCCAGTACTAAAGAAAATATGATAGCTAGTTACTCAGCTCTAAAACTATAAGGACAAAGGACTTTACCATTACTTAAATACAAGGTATATGTGAGCATATGCATATGTGTGTAAACTGTCAATAGCAAATAACACAGTATGTAATCTAACATATGACATGGAATACAAATGATCCAAACATCTCACAGTTCAGAATATTAACGGCCTTATTCTACCCTACTGTTTTAAAACACCTGGGAAGGGCTCTAAAATTCCTATGAGGTTCAACAAGCTGATTTGCTGCAGAATGTTCCATTTAAGGAGGAGGGGCTTCTGGTCTTGTGGTGTGGCAAGGGATATAACCATCAAAATCCACCTTGCTGAGGTTCCTTAGGGGAAAAGAAGCTTAGATCACACAGGGCCAGGGTCCCTGCACAGAAGCTCTAACTCTCTCTATTGTTGTCTGTCCCCTTTTCCCACTTTAGTAGCATTGGCTCTCCACATCTTTTGTGGTTTATTTGCCCCATTTTGCACTGTTTACATTTACCTCTCTTCTTCTCATAATGGGCGTACTGTAGAGCTATGAGTAAAACTGACATACCAACACTTTATAGCAACAAACATAAGCAAACTTTAAAGTTTGAAGATTTAGCATGATAATACCACAGGTCTGTTAACCTCATTTTTTTTCTTATATTAACAACAACAATCACATTTATAATCTGTGCTGATTTACTTGTTCCAGGAGTTCTTGTTCATTAGTTTATATCCATAATGCTACCTAGTTACCAACCTATTGAACATTAGCACTTAAATATTGCTTTACACCTTCAAAGCGTACCTCAGTCAAACAAAGGGACTGATCTTTAAACCTGTGTGGAGTCTCATTCATTCCTTTGCAGGATTGTAGCTTTTGTTAGTATTCATGTTTGCACAGTGTTTTGAAAATCCAAAGTGATAATGTCAATATGATTGTTAAGATGACAGCAAGGTGAAATTATATATACATTTTAGGTTGTAACAAAACCTAAAACACTAGAAAACTAGACTATATTTTAATCTCTAATCTATTTGCACATGACACTTTTTTATTAGTGTAATATTACTAATATACACTAATAAACAAGTGTCATGTGCAAATAGATTAGAGATTAAAATATAGTCTAGTTTTCTAGTGTTATAGGTTTTGTTGCAACCTAAAAATACAGTTTATTAATAGTAAATTAAATGTATTATTATTGTTTGTTATTACAGGTACAATATTTCAAAAACCTAATGTCTATTAACTTTCACTAAAATGAATTGAAATGTGTAATATGTTTCAATGGGAGGTAGACACCTAGCTTTTTTTTTTTTTTTTAATTCCCAGTCTACATTTAAGTGTCTTCTAAATGTTGAGAGTAGAACTCACCCACTTCTTGGAATACTCTTGAGTGTCAGAGTTCAGTATGTAAACTTTTATAGTGACAATTATTTCTTCTGTAATCGCTGACATTTTGAATGAACACGAATCCATAATAATCAACATTTGAATGGTCCCAGTGGAAGCATCTGGTTTCAGCTGTGCCAGTGGTACTTTAAAGGCTTTATAAAGTCAGCTGGCAGCATACCCAATCTCCAGGCATTAAATTTTATGGCAAAAGAGCTAAGAGAGACTGAACATTTCTGTTTCCTGTTATCTTTCTTACGTGGATGGGCTTCCAAAACCACAGACAATGATTTTAAAAAGGTCTATGTGTGTGTTAGTGTTACCAGCAGCCACAACATATTTCAAATTTGAGCATTTATCTTGTAAATCTTGTATAGTTTTTCTCTTACCTGATATAGGTTTTTTGAAACAGATTTTTTGCCAGACTGAATGAAGGTACTTGATAGTGTTGCAAACTGAAAAATCCATGACATTCCTAATGCAATGTCAAACACTTCAAATTGTTTATTTTAAATTAGACAAAACTTCAAAGTTTTATGTTCAGTTAGTCAACATTAAAATATTAGTATGTTTTAAGTCATGTTTTGAGAATCATTTGTTCAAAGACCTAACTTTTCAGTGACATTCAGAATCTTTTCTCTTGCAGCCATTTCGTAGAGTGACGTTTTCTGTTGTGAGTCAGCCTCAGGACCCACATCAAGGGTCATTGCAGAGTTGCTATGACAGCGGTCTGGAGGAGTCAGAAACACCAAGCAGTAAGAGTTCATCAGGGCCAAGACTGGGTGCCCTTCCACTCCCAGAGGACAACTACGAAAGGACTACGCCGGATGGCAGTGTTGGTGAGGCAGAGCATATGGAAAATGGTAGGGGCAAACACAACATTCACACACATAATCACACTAGTGAGCCATAATAAGTAGACTTGTGGAAAGGTCAGTCCAAAATAATAAAATAAAATAGCTTAAATTATAACTATTTTATTTTAAATGGTAAAATTTGTTAAAATGCAGCCATACAAAATAATGGAACATAACCATACAAATAAAATCAGCAGGATTTTTTTACATTATTTTAAAACTACATTGCTGAAACAGTTAAATAATTTAAAAAAATCAGTGCAGGGGCTGGGTTCAAGGGAATTAAATTGCATACACAATGTTTTTTTTTTTTAACAAAAGGAACTGATAAGGGACATGTGTTCTATTTTCTACTTCCATTTTTTTTGTCATACAATCATTGCTTATGACGTTTTCCTGAAATTGAATTTGTGCAGCATCAGCATAAAGAAAATAGGAACTAAAAATCTCCTTCTAGAGTCTTCCCTTTCCCCCAATATTATGCAACGTGTTTTCAAAACAATATTGAGGTTTCTACTCCATGTTGAATTATTTAGAAAAGGAAAGCACGGTTTGATTTTTTCCTCCACGGTATATTGTGGAAAATACTTTTAGAACATATCATTTAAATTAAGGATTTTTTATATATATGGGAATGGGGTGGGGAATGCATCCTGATTTGCAGTATGAGTAATTCTTCAGCAATTACAAAATTATGGTAATTAAATACTTAATAGTTTGCAATTTTCTTTTTTGTCTACAATTAGAAAATAGTGGACTTTAAAATACATTTCTATAATAGATCTTAAATAATTTACTGTTCCACACTTATTGACCCTTATCTAAAGCTCTTTGAAGTCAATGTGCATTGACTTCAGTGAGCTTTGGGTGATGCCCTTAAACTATATAGTAGATTACTTTATGTCAAAGATTACCGCATGTCAAAGAGTACATAGTGCTGACGTGTGAAATGAGGAGTTTGCTAATCAAGTTTGTATAGTTGTGTATGTGAGGAAGATGGAGTCTCATCAGCTCCTCAAACCCAGTATAGATTTTGTTTGGCTTTGTGCATGACTTTAGCTTCTTTCAAAGGCTTAGATCAGCAGTTAAAATTGTTCTTGTTTTATTCCTAAAATAGACATATTGACCCAATAAAAATAGATCATGCTCTGTGGTCAGGAAATTGACAAATCTAATGTATATGAGGGAGAAGGACTGCAGCAGTCTGCATTTGCTGAAGGTCTGCATTTCAGCAATGCATGACTATTTCAAGTCATACAGAATAATGGACACTCCCCGCCCCCAGTGGAAATAATAATTATCCTAAATTCAGTTATCATTTTCCCATTTATATATGTGTAAAGCTGTTGGCAGCCTGCTTCCTAAATTGTTATTTATTTTTATTCTTGTTAATTTAAGGGTGAAATTTAGTGCTTAGGAAAATGAGGCTAAAGCACTGGCTATATCCAGGTAGATACAGTGCAATGAAGGCAAGTATTTTTGAGATTTAGCTGAATAAGTTCACAGTTCTTCTGAAACTGTCTGAAGCACAATATATATAAAGCAATATATAAACACGGAATCTTGGATGAACTGTAAGACTATGATTTATCCTAACTTTTGATGTGCTCTTCAGTAGATAATAAAAGTGGTCTTATCCAAATTTATTCTCAGAAATTCCAACATACAGTGGACTCTAGTTTGCTTAAATTTTGGAAATTGTGGGGCAACTACCATTATACTATATTAATTATTAAACTTTAAAATGAAATTAAAAGGAGGACAAAGGTAACTTTTCTTTGTTAGGATTACATATTTACCCTTTGAAATTAGACAGATTTCAGAATAAGTAGAAGCACAACCAGATCAAACTACTAAATGTACTTATTATGCCATGAACACCTCCAAAACAAGAGTAGCATGATAGAAGTCTCAAATTGTATAATGCAAGGATTACAGACAGTAAGGGAGACTTTTTGTCATATTCACAAAATCTTGAACTGAACCCCGTGAAAAGTGGGTGACATTGCGATGAAAATTATACTCTACTGACTTTTGAATTCTGCTGTCACTTTTTAAAACAGGATTTAGACAGTGGCATGTCATCTGCCTCCAGTAATTTTTGTTAGCATTAGTCAATAGGTGATGACAGAACAAGATGCAATGCACTTTTGGTCCTCTATAAATGTAGCATTTGACATTTGAGTGAGTGCTTTCTCTGATCCAAATTTTAAGATGACTTGTCTAGCTATATAGAACAATTGTATTGCTCAAATTCTGGTAATTTAATCTTCAATATTAATGGATCATTCTGACATAAATAGAATTGGAATTGAAACCTGTCAAGTATTCATTTGTCATATTTAATTGGAATCTCGGTAATCTGCAGTGTTTTGGTTGGTTAGGTTTTAATCAGGCTTTGTATTGGATTTTCATTTGGATTTTCCATGGAAACAGCACTTTGAAAGCTATCTTAGGTTTTAATTGTTATTACTTCAAATATTTACCATTTAATTTAAACCGGTGCAAAACAATGCAGTTATAACTAATTACTTTGGATTTACTTTCATTTTAAAGTTTGAGGAGATAATTTTCAGCACAGTAATGTAAAACCTTCTGATACCTTTGATGCATTCTCTGTGCAAGATAGGAACACTAATGAAAACAAGGCACCTTTCATGTTTCAGCAAGTGGAAGAAGGCTGAAGCTACTGCAGCCAGAGTAAATACTGGTAATGAAATGCAACTTCCCAAATTTGTTGGTTAGATGTCTCTTTCTCCTTTTCGGGTTAGCATAAGACAGAGAATTGAAACAATAATGCAAGTAGGTTGGTTTTCTTTATAATAAACTGTACAGTGTATTACCAGCCTACATGAATGTCAGATGTAGATTGAAGTTTGGTTTGCATTATTAGCTGTGGTGTCAGCAGTGGTGAGTGGGGTGGGGTGGAAGAAATGTTAGCAGACGGGATGTGAAAATGCAGTATGAAAAGATTTGCTAATTTGTAAGATCTGGAGAACCAGAAATAACTTCTGAGTCTTTTCCCCCTGCCCTTGCAGCTTTCCTTACAAGGAAACCCTACTCATTTGTGCAATCTTGTCCAACACACATCAATTGTTTCTCTAATGTGGTCATTAAAAAGTCATTATTTTAACAGAAATTGCACACTTCTTTTCTCAAGAGGACACATTATTTTTCTTTACATCTTGATTTTTATATTGTAAATATAGGCATTGTCATACTGGATCAGATTCTTGGTCTATCAAGCACAGTATTCTGTTTCTGACAGTGACCAGTAAGTACCAGATACTTCATAGGCATGTACAAGAAACCACATAATAGAAAACTGTGGAATAACTTTCTCTCCTGACCTCTATTAGGCCTGGTCTACATTAGAAAATTAGATTGGTTTAAATACATCAGTCAGAGGTGTGAAAAATCTACACCCCCTGAGCAACGTAGTTAAGATGACCTAACTCCCTGTGTTAGGTAAGTGCTAGGAAAATGGAAGATTTTTTCTGTCAACCTAGGCACCACCTCTAAGGGAGGTGTATTACCTATGTGGATGGGAGAACGCCTTCCATCGGTTTAGGTAGTGTCTGCATTGTAGCTTTTTAAGTGAAGACAAACCCTTAGGTAGTGGTCTGCTTATGCTCTGAATCATGAAGGTTTATATTTTCTAAAAGATTATTCATCCTATCTCATTTAATCATAATTATTATCACTGTGAATACATGCAATTTTATGAATTCTACTAAATTATTGGCCTCAGTGATCTCTTGTGGCAGTATGTTCCATGAGTTAATTATCAGTTCTGTAAAAAACTATTCATTTTTATCAATTTTATGTTTGTTTTCTTTAAACCACACTGAATATCCCATTGTTCTTGTATTATGAGAGAGAGTAAATAAAAGTGCTCAATTTACCTTTTCTATCCTTATTTTTATACCTTTATCATGTGGCTTCATATTTATTTCTTCTCTGAACTACATTCAAAGCCTTTTCAATCTTTCCTCATAGATAAAGTCTTGTTGTGCATCTAAAACTTTTGTTGCCTGTCTCTGAACTTTAATATCTGCTAGATGTTTTCTGAGATAGGGGTGACCAAAACTGAACACAGTATTCCAGGTGAGGGCATGACAATATTTTCAGTATTATTTTCTATCCCATTTTTTACACATGCTGTCATTAGGGCAATGCTTTTCATTGACATGTCTGTAATGATGCCCATGTCTTTTTCCATGGGGCTAATTTAGAACCTGACAGTGTGTATGATTAGTTCAAATAAATCCTTCTGATGTGCACAACTCTGATTTTGTAAACAAAACATTTCATCTTTCATCTTGTTGTCTATTCAAATAGCTTTGTTAGGCCCATCTGAAGTTCCTCACAGTCCTCTCTAGTTGCAATTAAACAAAATAATTTATATTTATATACATTTATAATGTACTTACCGGCATATATATATATTTTATTTTGTAGCACCTTTCATCCAAGGACAAGGAAGCAAAGTACAACCATTCATTAAGTCTCATGTCAAGCTTTTCAGAGGACAGCTGTGGCCCACTAGGTTGAGCATGGGACTGGGAGTCAAGAGTTCTGTTTCTGTCTCTACCACTGGCTTAGTCAAGTCACTCAAACTCCTTGTGTCTCATTGCCAAACCTGTAAAGGTTGGAGAATAGGGATCAGCTGCTTTTATAAAGGGCTTGGATATCTATAGATGAAAATAAAAGAAATTATTTATATATCCATCATTTTAAAGAAGAGGGAAACCAAAGCAAAGGAAGTTTAAGTGACTAGCCTAGGATTCACAGGAAGTGAGTGGCAGAGCATGGAATAGAACTCAGAACTCCTGACCCTCATTGCTTATAGTCACTAGATAATTTTCTCCCTCCTAAAAGACAGCAGTAGTTAAATATGCTCCAATCAACAGAAAAATAGCTAAAGGACAAGAAAGAAAAATGGGATTGTCCAGTTCTAGCAATAGGATTTGATTACTGCATTATTTTACCTATGGCAGTTTCAA